TTACAGCACAGCTTGCATTTTTGTTGAACCAAATGTCAAGAATGGCAATCAAACTTTCTGATGCAGGATTGTACAGTCAGATCCTTAAAATACGAGAGCTTGTGGTCTCATGTGAAAAATGTAAATACATGTTTTGTTTCTTGACAGTTGAGATGATCTACACTCATGGCTAAAAAAAAAAGCTAGTAATGTTTTGATTTCAGTCACACAGCTGGTAATTTGTTAAAATGCCCAACTATTCCAGGCAGAGAGTTCAAGGTTACGGTGTTCCCAGACTCTGTGTGCTGAAAGGTTTATGATCTGTGAGGTTTATGCCCCATGAAAGGCTTGGCAAGCATGTCATATGTGATTAACTGCAAGTCTCATGTCAATAAAACAACAAAAATGTTTGCTCTGAAAATTTCTTTTTAGAGAAAAAAGAGGACAGCGGCCTCTAGTGTCTGAAAGATGATGGTGCATCAGGAGCAATAGCCATAGTTGTCCCTGCATTTTAAACAAGGCCTGAATGTGACTTTTGTTTAGACACAGAATGATAAGAATAGCATTGCAAAATAATAACTATATGTGTTGCACAACTTCAAGTGGCAGCTTTATGAAGGATAGACAAAAAAGCTGGATCTTGAAGATCTGAGATGCACTCAAGCTACTTAGCTATTTAAAATGAGCTAAAACAACACAATTCTTGAGATTTTTTTCTGGGACTACTCAATTGTTTTATGTTCAATCCACTTAAATATGTAAACATAAACTTTAAAAAGTCAACTTAATTTCTTCATGTTGTCCCCACACAAATTGATTGCATGGAACTCAGCATTTTTTTTTACCGTGTAAGAGTTTATTTGCACTAAAAAATGTTTAAGATGAGCGATTTTATGTTTAATCCACTTAAATTGTTAAATTAACTTAATTGATTTGTGTTGGGACAACACAAATTATTTCTGTAAACTTTGCATCGTTTACAGTGTGAAAACAATACAACTACACACATGCACACAGTTAATAAAGTGATTTTTTAAAGTATTACATATTGCTTTATGCAATGTAGCGCAGCCTATCAAAAAAAAAAAAAAAAGATTTTGCTCAGTAATGAGCTCTACATGATTGCAACGCTTCTCATTATAACGAATTGCTAACACAATCTAAATAAGAGATTCACTGTGCAGTTTAATGGTTTAATTGAAAAACGGAACTGTGACAATGTATAATCTATTACTTATGTTTAATGCTGCTAAATGCTATCTACACACAGGTCTCTCTAGCAGTGGATGAGACAAAAATGTAATATGTCCAAACATCAACAGCAGAGTTTTATTTATTTATTTATTTTTTTTAATGGGGAGGGGTGCATGGAAATGTTTGGAGAAAAAAATATTATATTTTAATTAACAATTTATTTTAATAAATCAACAAAACTGTAGAAGTACAAAGCAAATACATAAAAGTAGGCTCAAATAAAATAATAAATATAAAATAATGACCATACAAAATTAAATAAAATGTGAAGGAATCAAGAAATGCATCAAAATTGGACAAACAAAAATCCTCAATCAGTATCCTCACTGTTGACTAGTTGCTTAGCATGTTATTAAAATATTGGCTTTTTTATTAGCACGTATAAAGTACATATTTTCTATGATTTTATACTACATTCATAATTCTACTCGATACCTAAATTCAACTACCTTAATAAGCTAGTTAATAAGCTTAAAATAATGTGTCTCCAAAAATATATATACTAAAATGAAACGAACATAAATTAAGTAACTTATTAAATAATGTTCAGTATATATCAACCTCAGTAACTTTATTTTGGAGCTGGGCCTGTGTGTCAATAAAAGAGCATGTTTTCTTGACAGCAGGGTGTTTGCAGCTGAAGAATAAAAAGAAGAAGGTCAGGTTACAGGCCGTATATATGACTCAGGGTATTGGCAGGCTAATTCTCCCAGGAGATCCCGCTCTTACCCCTCCGCTGCTGCCAGTAAAGCACAGTTTCAGTTTGCCAGCCATATGGAGCTGCCAGAGGGAAGAGCCTTGAGACGTCCTGTAATTGTGGCAGAGCCTCAGCTGTCATCCCTTCACCCCTTCATCTTATCTAGGCTCCGTTGAGACAGACCAGTGTGTCCCTCACTGAAACTCACTGAAAAAAAATAAAATAAAATTTAGTCAAATTGACAAAAGTTTTTACTTTTAGTTTTTAAAGTCGAGTTCATGTATGGAATTTAATTGCTTATAAAAAAGTAAAGTTACATAAACTTTGCATAAAGTTATGTAAAGTAAGAATGTTGAATAAATTTAACACAGGTCACACAATAGTGGCAAAATAAAACAGACAAAACCGTCTATGTTAAAGTAATGCAGCTCAACATTTAAATGAGACATTTGGGATGGGAATTCATATACATGGGACATTCTACCAGAAACGTGTTATCTGTCCCTGAAATTAAAACAAATACAGTGAATAAAAAGTATTTCATGTATAAAATGGACTGATGGTTGATTTCTGTGAGTTGTTCTGTAAAGGATTTTGTCATTCCTTTGGATCTCAGATTTTTTCTTTATTAAAAACACTTTACACTGTACAAACCCTGTCATTGTCCTTGTCCTCAACTCAAATGAACTTAACAGTTTAACCGTTTTGTTATGTTAAAAACTGTTATTTAGGGGAAAAAACCTTCAGAGTTAGCAAAGGTTAAGTTGTTATCATTAACATCAATAGAATAAAAATATAAAATTATAAATTCAACAAATAAATACTATTTTACAATTGTCCCGGTGCTTCCGTCAGTTCTGTCACATTTGCATTGCATTTAACATAAAATGCATCCCATACACAGTTAAGGCTGTGACTCGGAAGTGAAATCATTTGACGGAGAAGAAGCTAACAGTGATCAGGGATGCGTTCTATCATTGAATTGTATTATTCTATGCTTGTCTTTGTATGATTTTTTTAAGACAACAGACACTAACATTTTTATAAGTAAAAATGTATGTTCCTGTAAAATGTACCATATACTTAAAAGTCAGCTAACCTAAATAAAAAAAAAATAATAATAAAGTACATAGAAATATCCTGTGTTCAATATAAAAAATAACAAATTATGAGAGAAAATAGTGCCAAAATTGTGTGTGTGTTTTTTCTTTTTTGTTATTCCATTATACTAAATTATCCCTTAAATAGGACAAATGTGTCCAACAGGGCACACAAATTGCAAAATGAGATTACTATTACTAAATAAACTAATGAAAAATTACTAATGATGAAAAAAGATTGCTATGCCTGTTTGTAGATCTGCACAATTTAGCCGCCTTTTTTTTTGTTTTTACTAAAACTCTCTATTAAAAAAATATTTGAGAATAAATATTAGTCAGTTTGCCTTTTCAGTTGCCTTATGTTTACTCCAAAGGGCTACAGAGGAGTTCAATTTAAAATTTTACTTGTAATACGAATAAGAACTATATAATACATAAATATCTAATACTATCTAATAGGTACTAGTCTCTTATTATTCAGTACTAATATCTAATACACTGTAAAAAAAAATATATGAACAATTAGTCATGACAGCATGTTTTTAGTTCATTGAAACTAAATAAACTAAGTTAATCATGTTCTAACTTAATTTCATAAGTTATGCAAGTTGTTTTAAGTCAGTTTAATAGGCTCATAAGAGCTTAAAATTTACAGTGTAAATAAGCAGTGCCTAATAAAGAATAAGCATTAGTATCTAATGAATAAGCAATATTATCTAGTTCTACTTATAAACTAGTGTCTAAAATGGGTACTAGTAACACTAAATTAGATACTTGTGCGTTTTATTTAATAAATGACACCCTCTGGTTTTGTTTTTGAAAAACAAAGGATGAAGTAGGACGTTTGCCCACGTTGTCATGTGATCTTTCCACCGGCAGATGTCGCCGCACATTAACGACAAAAAAATCGTTTCATGATCATGCCAAAGATTTTGCCAGCCCCAAATAAGGCAATCACCATGCGAAAAAATTTAGTTTTTTTTTTTTTCCAAAAAAATAACCGCAGACCCTATCTTGCGGCCCCTGTTTACTTATGGTACTTGTGTTACTTATGGTTATGAATTGCTTTTTTATCGATTGTTCATGGTTTTCATAGATATTCATAACAACAACTATTTTAGAATTTATATTGAACTTAAAATAAAAGTTTTCTTTTTATAGATGTTGTAATTACAAAAGTTAAAATGACTTATTTTGTATTAAAGTTGATGATATTGTTATTTACGTCCTAAAATTACTCGAAGACAGCAGAACATGTAAGAGTAGCGTTGGTTATACTTCACACAACTTCCATGATGAAAACTGACATCTGATAGAAGAACATTTTCAATTGAGACGTATGCTCTGTTCGCTTGAAGAAGAGCCCCGTGGACCAGTTTTCTCTCCGTACATTCAGTTCTTTACCATGGCAAAGCAAAACAAACAACTGACCGCAGATCAGCGAGCGAGTCACATGCGCTAAACATCAGCGAGCGCGGCAAAGTCTGAAATGACATCATTCAAGCCAACGCGGATAGCGCTGTCTTCTCACATGCCTGATCACAATTCTAAACATCTAGGCAAAATAAGTATTTTAGAAATGCATATGTCCAACGCGGCATTTTAAACAAACAAAATAATACGTATAAGTTCTGAGGAACCACATGGCTACATATCTAGCTTGTCATTCGTTTTTTATTAAGTTGTCTCTCAGTATTTACGTTCTTTATAAGCACGTTTTTGACTCATACTATGGCGAAGACGTTGTTATGAATATTAATTTACTCTCACTGCCTCTCCCCCGGAACATATGATACATCCTGTCATGTGCCTATTTAATATTTATGACTCACTCACTGAGGTCTGCTTTAACTGGAAGAACGACATCGTGCGTCGTTTAATATTCATGAGCTCAGCCTTCACCGTAGTAGGAGAGGCGTCTGACGCGAGGTCCTCGGGCGCTCAGTGTGCGCCTCCCTTTGTGCCTCTACACTCAAGATGGCTCCCGTTTTAGAGAAGAAGCTACTGGGCGCAGTCGGGACAGGCGACACTATGGAAAACAGCAACGAGGATGATGAAGGACAAAACCTCTGGTACGCACGAACCCTCAAAGCGTCCATTAGAGCAGCTGGTTTTGCAGGGAGGTTGTTTATTTGACAGTGTGATCTGCTGCTTTGTCACCAGCCGGGTGCTGCCCAGTTCAGACGCCGGTCCCGGATGAGCTCCAAAATACTTCACATTAACTTGTAGTAAAGTGTGTGTCGGGCTGGGTCAGACACTGGGAGTTGGCTACACAATAAAGAAAGTCTTCTGAAGCGTTTGGACGCAGATTATCTTGGTTTATTTGCTCATGTCATTCTCAGTGATGACTGTTGTGTGCTGTTGGTTAATACTTTGTTAAAACTCATCGGTTTTACGTTACATGCTTTGTAGTGGTAAAGCGGTTTCTCAATGAGGCGTTAAATCGTTAACTGTGTGTCTATATGTGCATGTTTTATTTAGTTTTTATGAAAAGTGTCAAGATGCTCACTCCTGATCCCTGATGTGATCTAACGGTTGATTGGCCATTCATCTCTTTAATGAACGTTTCCTTTTGCTAGCAACATTTTTGTGGATGCTTTGGTAACATTTTATTTCTTAGTTTTGACAGCCAACAACAATAACTGTCCACACAACTATTGATTTTTGCATTGAAGTCTGTGTTTGCTGGTGTCATGAATGTCGAGTGATTTGTCATCTGTTGTTTTGTCTTTCAGGTCTTCAATCCTCAGCGAAGTTTCCACACGCTCGAGCTCTAAGTTGCCTTCTGGGAAAAATGTTTTGCTTTTCGGTATGTAACTTTTGCTTAGTTTTGATTTTAGTCAAGATTCATATTTAACTTCTGTGTACAATCTTTACATGTAATGTATGTAAAACGTGTAGGAAATTTATTTGTGTGAAGGAAACTGGTGTTAAGGCATTTATCACCCAAAGCTGAACATTCAGCCATCATTTTCTAATAATTGAAGGAAACACACACTATCTACTATATCTATGAATATTTATTGAGCATTAATGTTGAACAACTGAATGTAAAGCACATGTTGCCTAAAATCTAGTCACTTTTTTTTCTTGTGAAAAAGAGACAATAAATAACTTTTTGCTTTTGTAAACAAAATAAAATATTTTTTATGTTTTTCATATTAAAAGTAGAAAATAAGCAGTATCTCTTCTAGATATCTAGCATAAATATTTTAAATGTAAAGAATTTTAGTGTAATGGAAAGTATGCCATCTCAACGCATCTCTGGGCAGCTTCCAATCATTGTCAGTGGAGTGCAAAGTAAGGCTTGACTAAAGATCAAATGTGGCTTTAAAGTGGATGCAGAAGTATAAATCAGCCTTAACTGCATGCCAGTTTTTTAAGGATTCGTAAGTTTCGGCGACAGCCACAGTGAGGGGTATAGACTGCATGAAGGCTGCGCTGAACCATATGCTTGAGCTTGACGCAGAAGTATAAACGGAGCGGGGTCAATAATTGACTTGGAAAAAATGTATCGATTATAGGCTCTCAATGTCGATTTCTGTTATTTTTCAATTAATTGCCCAGCCCTAGCTGAACACAAATAATTTATATATATATATAAAAGTCTGCTAACAACAACAACAAAAAATCTAAACATCTTGCATTTAATATAAATTGTAACGCTTCAGGATGAAAGAGTAAGAAAATGATGCCAGAATTGTCTTTGTGTGTGTTAGTTATCTTATAATACTTCATTATCCCTTTAACTTGTGTGTAAAGCTGAAATAATTTGCTTTTAAAGACTGAAGAGTATGCAATATTGAAATGATTTCTGGTGATGTTTTAGGGGAGGATGGGTCAGGAAAGACTACGCTTATGTCAAAACTCCAAGGAGCCGAGCACAATAAGAAAGGTAGAGGGCTGGAATACTTGTACCTGAACGTCCAAGATGAAGACATCGATGGTAAGTGCTTTTAAAGTGGGTCATATAATAATAGTAATAATAATAAATAATTGTTATAGATAATGGCAAATTACATCTGTCATTAGTTGTCATAGCTGTGATTATTTAATTATCTTGTTTGTGTTAAATTCGTTTATTTGCATTGAATTTGAAATATGCTTATATGATGATTTGTAAACAATTTGTGTAAAGCTAGAATTTGATGGTTCAATAATAAAAAATCTGTTTTCCTTAGTTTTATAACTTTACTATAAACCCTTCCAGATTTGACTCGCTGTAGTGTCTGGATCCTGGATGGCGATTTGTATCACAAAGGCTTGCTGAAGTTTGCAGTGACCGCAGAGTCGTTGAAGGACAGTCTGGCCGTGTTTGTAGTGGACATGTCACGTCCTTGGACCATCATGGAGTCGTTGCAGAAGTGGACGAGTGTGCTGCGTGAACATGTAGACAAACTGAGGATCCCACCTGAGGAGATGAGAGAGATGGAGCAAAGAAGTGAGTGCTGTTTTGATTTTGAACAACTTAAGCCTGGTTTATACTTCTGCGTCAGGTGACCGGCGTAACCCACGGCGCATGCAACGTGCGTGGCTGTGCATTTATACTTCTGCGCGCTGTCTCTGTTGGTCTGCATTAACACTTCCGAAACGCTAGTTGGCAGTGAGGTGTAAATGTTCCTCTGTGTCGAGTTTCTTCGCTGCTTTTTTGCTTTTCCTGAACACTTCCGGGATGTACAAGTGGCTCAAACTCGCTCATTTTGAGGCAGGAACCGGCAGACGTGCAACAACTTTAACTATGAGGTAAACACAAAACAAAACTTTCCATCCGGAGCTCCTTCACGTGACTCCACACTTGTAAACAATCGCTACATTGGGTTTGCGCCATTCGCGTGGCTCTCGGTCCCGCCCAGACTCGTCAGCGCTACCAAGCCGACCAGTCACAGAGCTTGCGCTACGCGTTGTTGCGACGTGTAGTTACTTTTTTTGAGAGGTGCACGTCAGCGACGGCCACGGCGAAAGGCTATGCGTCAGCGCCGTAGCATACACCGGTGTTTGACGCAGAAGTATAATCAGCCTTTAGTGTTACTCATTCAGATTTGAGCATGATTTATAGTTGATGGCATGTTTGTCATCCATCTTTCTGCTGGACATATTAATCAAATGTTCAGGATAAGAATTCACTGTATAGCTGAGTTAGAGGATATTTTGTTGCCACAATACCATTTGTGAAGTTGTCAAATGAGCTTTTTGTTTGGTAAAAATCGGTCTTCTTTTGGTGTGTTCAGCAGGCAAAGACTATAGAATACATAAGACATGTCACTCGTATAGTTTTGATTGGGGAAAAGTGTAAATGTTAATTTAGTGAATAAAGCCCACCTTCTAGTACAGGAGCCAATCATCAATCACTATAGGATTCTCCAGGGTAGGGGCTTAGATCAGACAAGTGTTTTTACGACAGTTTCTGCAGTGCTTATGCACCCTCTTTAGGGCTAAAGTCTAGATGGCATAGAGCTGTGGATCCTCGCATCAATGTAGCACAATTTTTGTGACACAGTACAACAATAATTAATAGTTTTACATTACTGTGAGGGTCGGGGAAGGGGTAGTGGTTAAAAAAATACAATTAATGGGTAATTAAATAAATATTAAAATGAATTCTTATTAATTTCCGGTTCTAATTTTGTATTTTGTATGAAAAGAACACGAGGTACAGTCCGTCCCCTCAAACTTGCAAACAAAGAGGTTGCTTTGATTGTTTTTGGAGGAGGTTTGCCATCAAGACTAAGTTGGGAATTACTTCACAAGATCAGTGTGATTGGAAGAGGCATTATTCCGAGGAAGATAATGGGCAACACTTAAACATAAACAGCCATGAATGAGGTTGATGTCGTGATCTCGTTCGAGTGTGCATTAGATTGGGCAAGCTGGAAAATACAGATTTAGTTTGATTTGGATGTTTAGAAATGAATCTTAAGAGACAGTTGTTGTTTAATTCTATTAGTGATTCCAAATAGGCAGTTTAATCCTAAGCTTGGCAAAAAGTTTTGGAGAACATGATGATTTTTCCATTCAAATAGTATGCCCGAGAGGCGTTTCAAAGATGGCAAATTGTAAAATTACTTGCCTTGAAGAGTCTTTGGTTTAGATATGTAAATTTGGCGAATTAGCAGCAGATGATGGTTCCTGCATGTTTACATATTCACTTTGAGAGAAACAGAATTAGTTAAAAGAGTACAGTAAGTGACATATTGTGGTGAAAGTCTTGCAACAGTAAAAATACATTAATTCTTCCTAATGCAGCAGGGGTGATGTGTAGATTAAGGGATTTGTTGTTTTTTGTTTCATAGGGAATTCTATTTTTTATCACGTATATTAATTGATTGTAGTCATTTATCCTAATATATCATGTTCTTTAAAAAAAAAAAAAAAAAAAAAAAAAATATATATATATATATATATATATATATATATATAAATATAAATATAAATATATATGTGTATAATATATATGTATGTATACGATACGATGTGTATCACGATATAATGTTCACGATTCGATATGTATCACGATATTTGGAATAAAAATAGAAAATTAAACTGAAATGCAAATTTTACCAAGTAAACTATTTTTTTATGTATTTCTTTTGTTTCAACTTGTTAAACTGAACCTTCTTTAAGAAAATAAATTAAACAGGCCTGTCTCTGGAAAATAAAACAATTTAAAAACTTCTTAAAAAATATTATTATTGAAATGATAGAGACAAAATTAAGGAACAATTTCAGTAAAGGTGCAAAAAAAAAAAGCTTTCTATTCAATTGAATTTAACAGTAAGAGCTTAAGGCTTTGCTTGGTCACTTGCGTTTTTTTGTGTGTGCAAAAAAAAAATCCACATTTCCAGGTAATCAACAGTTCTATAAGATAATTCTGAACTGATGTGTATCTGTCTTAGATGTTTTTATGGACGGCTGTCTTCATGTTGGGCATGATGAGTGACAGGGTGGCCGCCTTTTCATTACACAGGACAGTCGTGGCTCTTTTCAGCAGTTTAGGCAGGTTTACTATTTCTTCGGCGTAGCTGATGTCAGCGCTAACAAGTGTATCATGTTGACGTGCATTTTTGTGTACCTCTACTCAAAAGAGTTAAAGAATCCATATTATACATGAAATAGGGTCATATCTTGGTTGTAAGGGTCTCCAACAACAGTTTAATATACATGCAAGGTCAAAAAACACTTTCATGGTCTTATAATCTACATTTATTTTTACCTAATTATCCCAGCGACTCCCGTATGAATCGTCCAGTGATTCATTTGTTCCCAAACCCCTCCTTAGCGGGAAGCTAACCTGCTCTGATTGGACCGATGACAGTCTGTTGCGATTGGTCGACTGCCTTCAGTTAGAGAGTGAAATGGCCAATAGCTAATCAGCAATATAAAAAGTAATCACAGTTCATACACGCTCGATAGTGTAGGCGTGGATTTTAGCTGCCACACACACACACAAAAACACACACACGTCCGGACGACAACGCTCCCGCTTCCGCCCGCACCCGCCAGGTTTTAGCATGAGAACCCGCTCCGTTTTCTGCCCGCCGCGCCCGATCCCGCTAGAGCGGGGGAGACCACAACCAAAAATCACCCAGCTATACAGTCCAGACAGCCAAGATGTCTGTATAAACACACACACAGCACCAAGCACACAAAGCTCGCTCTCTCTCGCTCTCTCTCTCTCTCTCTCTCTCTCTCTCTCTCTCTCTCTCTCTCTCTCTCTCTCTCTCTCTCTCTCTCTCTCTCTCTCTCTCTCTCTCATACGCGCGCGTGCGCAATAACACACACACAAGCACCAAGCAGACTCTCTCTTTCTCATTCGCATAGCAATATCCGTGATATTGCTAGACAGCCCGCTCCCGTCCCAAATTAAACCCGTTACCGACCGCTCCCGCGATTTATTCGGAAATTTATTCCCGCGCCGCAGAAATCTGGCGCGGGGACAGCCGCGGGAATGCAGAACTCTACCACGGAGCTCCATACACAAAGCAGCACGCGTCGCGTTTTTAACGTGACTTTGCACGCGATAAGAGAATATAGCCAGTTAACCTGATACAGTACACTCGGTTACAAGTAACAAATCACAACTAAATACATTTGCAAGCTAGTCAACGAGGCAACAACTTTAACCGCACGTACTTACACTTGAGAAAGGTAGGAAGAAACCCATCCTGACATGTCCATCATTAAGTTACTCTTTACTGATCCTTCCTTTAACAAACTCAGATGAAGTATTCTTTGTAGCATGTAGCTTCCAGAAGTTTCCAGTACTTTCCAACTGCTTGTTATAATGCTGATGTTTCATCTTTGGGTAGAGACTCAATATATCCATCTGCAGTGTGACTTCAATCGACCGGCATGTTTGTGTGCGTGTATGTGTGTGTGTCTGGGTTTCTGCGTCAGAGGGCGGGGCCTCAGGTTTGAAATCTCCCGGGTTTGCGCGTGCACGTGAATAACTTGGTTTTGTTCGTACGTCATGGCGAAACACCTAATGAATCGGTATCAAGGCGACTCGTTTGAAGCACTATGAGTCGACTCTTTTATAGATGAATCAACCGTTTTAAACACTGTATTCTATACAGTCTGTATACAGATTTAAGCCTTAGCTGGATACTTCACTTCACTTAGAGCTGTGTTACACACTACATGGAGGGGAATTTTCAAAAACCCATAATATGGGCTCTTTAATGCTCGTCGTAATCATAACTCTAAAATGCGATATGATTGTTTAAATAATGTGTACGTTTTCGGTTTCATTTCCACTGCTAAGTGCTGTTCATACTACCCACGCGGCTCCTGAACGATCACTCTGTTCCACAAACTGAATGTTGTTTACTAGTTTATTAGTCACAACCTGCAGGTTCTGTTCACTGAAGCGTATGGCAAGCTGTTTTAGCATTTAAACCTTTGTTCTGACTATCCATAAATATATTTAATTCATATTTAATTAAATATATTTAGAGATATCTCTAATTACAATTGTGACTAGTCAAAACTTATTTAGAGATATCTGCAAATATTTTTCAATGGAAGTCAATGGAGGAATATGACTAGTCATAATATTTGCAGATATCTCCAATCTGATTTCGTACTAGTACAATTGTAATTGCAGATATCTCTAATTGTCATTCTGACTAGTCGAATTATAATTATGACTAGTCAAATATATTAGATATCTCTAAATATATTTATGGATAGTCAGAACAAAGGTTTCAATGCTAAAACGGCTTGCCATACGCGCGCGTCTATCAGTCCGCCCTCTGTAGTAACAGCTCACGGTCAGCTCACGTCATGTGTGATTTTGCGGCCGCCAATACATTATTATATGAAGACTGAATGATATTTTAGGGTGAATTGTACCTTATAAATACAGTATGTGACTCTTTTAACAGCATTAGGAGGTATCCATGTCGCTGTGCAAAGTATGTAAATCACTGTGAAGACTTTAAA